GCTGTTTTGGTATGCCTGGAACTGCTTCTTTAAATACTTTTTTTTAAATGCAAGAATGGTCTAATATCTATAAATGAAAACAAACAACTGACTTTTTTGTTTGTGTAAGACACAGACTGTCCCTATTTAGACAGCGGACAAATTTGATTTAAAGACAGACTGAGGGACCAAACCTGTCCATAACCTGGGGATGCCAGCAGGTATATTTATCACAATAAGAACAAAGAAGCAGGGCCAGCCTACAGGCCCCTTAAGGTCTCCATAGGCACAAGCAGCCTGCGTGGGTCCCGTGATCCCCGAACCTGTGTACGCAAGTGGGAGACAGAAAGGGACCTGGCATCCCTCTTGCCCCTTAATAAGGTTCTAGCATCTCTGAAGGTCATCTGGGGAACATGTGACATCAAACCCCTTTTGGAATCCATTGCATTCCGAGCCTTGTGTATCTCCTGGGGGCTGTGAGCTGCATTTGCTTATTGCCACTGTGTAGCAGGGGCTCTGCACATGCTTCCCAGATCCACAGAATGTGAGAGAAAGTGTGTGTGCAGACACTGCAGGTGCACGGGGCACCAAAGACCTGGCCAGGCCATGCATGCCCAGCAGGATACTGGAGAAGTCATCGCTTCTGCCGGAGCCAGCATCTCCATCACTGGTACGTCAGGCGTGTGCGCACACACGCGTAAATGGAGAGCCATGGTGTTTACACAGCACCTGTGCCAACGGCTGAAGGGAGAGCCAAGGCCCTCAGCCCAGCTTCCACCAGCAGCTCCACTATTGCTGTTTTTCTGCTTACAATGATTCATGTAAGATTTCCTTTGACTGAATAAGAACAGTAAAGACAATAGCAAACACATTCTCTGCAGTGCTTCCCTGCCAGATACTGTTTGAAGTGTTTCATTTTATTAATTCATATGATCCTCCCAACAGCCTTATGAACAGGTGCTGTTAGCATCATCTGTATTTGACAGGTGGAAAACTGGGTAAGAGCTACAAAGTAGCAGAGTCAGGACTTGAACCTAGGCACCTAATTGCGAAGTCCACCCTCTTAGATGTGCCATCAAAGGGCGCTGTGTCTAACACATTTCCTCCCTGTTGGTCTCTCCTCCTCCCACCACCAACCTGTTTACAAGGCTGGTGACAAGCTCGCCTCAAGGTGACAGGACAAGGTGCCTCTACCTCGGTAACCCACATGAGTGACCCACACATATTCAACAAATGTGCTGAAGGATTGAAAGAACTTGTCTGCTAGAAGGTGGCCGTGTGTCTTCCTAGCCCTCACCCTGACTGTAGGCTAGGCCCCTTGACCACCAGCTCTGGCCTCTGGGGCGGACGTACCAGGCACTTCATCCATATATAACCTCTAGGAGCTGGAAATAGAGCCTCCCCCTCTCCTTGTCTTTGACTCCTTTCCTGAGACTTACATAATAACTGATGTTACTCAAAGGATCTCTGCTAGTAGCAGACACAGGACTAGAACTCAGGCCGGCTGTGTGACACTAGAGAGTGGACTAATGAGGAAGCAGACACAGGCCTTGGATCCCAGAGCCTTTGGCCATCATTTCCTGGGGCTCACTGGGGGCCCAGCTAAGCTGGATCACCCCAGTCTACAGTTACACTGGGGTGTCTATCCTTTCCCCTTCCTGAAATCAGCAGTGTCCAGCAGCTCAGTGCACGAGAGTTGCACAAACAAGCATATTCTGGAATTTAGGGTGGTGGTTGTGGAGCTGGGAAGGAGGACCCTGGAACTGGAGACCATCCCGGGACAGAGCCAGAGGCAGCCATGGAGATGCAGAGGCTCATCTGCTGAGAGAAACCAGGAGAGGGGTCAGGGGCCGCACGGCAGGCCCAGGACCTGCACCAGCTCTTGTGGTCACTGGCTCACGTTACCAGCACCTCCTCTCACTGCCAGCCCCAGGCTAGATCGGACTCCATGTACCTGACCTGGCAGCAGCGGTTGGCCAGATGCCATGAGTCCCCATCTGCACTACACAGCTCACCCCTGTTTTGTAGGAGCCCTCCAAACTTCTTCTAGGGCTGTGAGGATGTGGAACTACAGAGAGAACCTCCAATTCCAGAAAGAACACCAAGAAGGAATCCCTGATAAGGTAAGACCTGGTAACATGGAACCTGGGACTTGAACTCTTGGCTAAGCGGCTCCAGTCCTGCGAGGAATGGGACCCTCTCACTTTGAGAGACCCTCACCCTCACATTCCAAGGTGGTGGGGGATGAAGACGTCCCCCTTTGCCTCCAGAAGGCTAGAACCTCTGGCCCTTCCTATTGGGCTGGCCTGGGAGGCTGGGAGAGGGTCCAGGGAGCCTTCAAGCACGGGTGATTTATTGTGGGGTACACCTTGGTGAAGGCTGGTGGAGTCAGGACTGGAGGAGGCAGGAGGTGACAGAGCCAGCAGCCGCAGCCGTAGCCTTATTGTTTATGTCTGACGGCCTGACTAGCTAAACATCTGTTTGAAATATTAATAACTGTCAGATGGGAAGGGCCTAGGGGCTCAATACTGTTTCATACCATCTGTCTGTAGAGTAAACACATTTTGGAACCGGATGGGGGGCTGTTACAGGCAGGCGATGTCTCTGCATAGAAAGGAGATTCAGTAAAAAATGGAAGGGCGGCCGTGGGGGTCTAGGAGCCCAGAGTGGGCAGGCAGGGAGCAGCTGTGAGTGAAACACCATTGTGTTAACTGAGCATCTACTATGAGCAAGACCTTGCGCTTGCATAGCATAGCTCCATTGCTTCAACCTGCTCAACATCCAATTCCCTGTCTTCTTGGAACATAAATCCTCATGGGGAAAACCTATTCCCCTGTATCAGCCCATATAGTCTGAACGCATTAACTTCAACCTCCAGCTCCATTAGGCAGGGTGTGACCCACTCCTGGCATATCAGAGTCAAAATGAACGGTTCCAGGATGGCCCAACAAGTGGGACCAATCACAGTCCATTTGGGATTTTGTGTTAAATGATACAGAATATAAAATATGTCATTTTAACCATGTTAAATGGACAACTCAGTGGCATTAATTATATTCCAAGATTGTGTAGCCCTTACCACTAGTTTTCATCACATCAAACAGAAACTCTATACCACTTAAGCAGTAACTCCTGGCCCCCTGAACCCTCCAGGCCCTAGTTACCACACCTGCTTCTGTCTTTAAAAAATTGCCAGGCTGTTCTTTGGAGGCAAGGATTCTGAGGCTTCCTCTGACATACTCTGGGCATGTTGCAAGGAGGGACCCAGTCCTTGGAGAGGGACATCATGTTTGGAAGGGTACAGGGACAGTGCAAGACATAGACTGGTTCAGTCACTGGGGTAATGGCAGTGGGTGTGTCAGAGACAGTAAAGCTGGCACAGGACAGAGCAGGTTTCAGGTCGCTATGAGTTGCAAGCAACTTGAAGGCACATAACAACAATCACAACAACAACAACAATAGCCCTAGGTCTTTTGTCAACTATTGAAAATAATTTCCCCACTAATACAGATGAATTAGTAAAGGGTAAGAAACCCTGGTGACATAGTGCATTGCATGTTCGCTCTTGTCCAAATGTTGGCAGGTCAAGTTGATCAGCATCTCTACAGAACAAAGATGGGCAATCTCCCCTGAAAGGGCTTACAGTCTTGGGAGCCCGATAGGAGGTTGCTCTGATTTGGAACTGACTGGAGGGCAGCGAGTTTCGTTTGGGGTTTAAGCCTAGAGGTGCTGGTGCCGATCCCAGCCAACCCAGGACAGCAGAGCCTGGCGTTGATTTTGGATTCCTGTTCAGCTGAGGCCCTGGATGGAACCATGCCTGAAATCTCACTGACACTTTTGGGATTTCTGGTGGCTCAGTGGTAAGGAATTGCACTGCCAATGCAAAGGTATGTAATTCAAATCCACTAACTCCTCCATGGGAGAAAGATGGACAGTCTCCTCCCATGTGATTTACTATTTAAACCTGCTGGAGGGTCAGCTATGGTCGGTTTCAACTCAAAAGAATATAGCAAGAACTTGTGAGTTACACGATGCCAATACTTTCCCCCTTCAACTACTTGAAAGTTTTGGTCCATTGCAAGCTAGAATACTGCCTGATAGAAATGGATACTGGAAAGGATCTTTTGTCAAAGGGTAAGCTGGGGCCCCAGACAGTCACAGGAACCCATTCCTCCCCAAAGCCTGTGCTGCAAAGGGATAGATCCTTCCAAGGGGTCTTCCACAGTTTAGCATTTCCTCAAAAAGCTGAACATAGAAATTCCATATGACTGAGCTATTCTACTGCTTGGAATATGCCCTGAGAATATGAGAACTGAGGCACAAAGAGAGACCTGTACCCCAATGTTCATGGCAGTGTTATTCCTCACAGCAAGAACATGAAAATAGCCCAAATGTCCAACCACAACTGAATAGATTGAGAAATGATGGTACATTCACACAATGGAATACTACGCAGCACACAGGAGCACTGATTTTGTAAATTACTAACTAGTTGGGAGGGGCTGGGGAGCATTATGCTGAGGAAACTAACTTAGTCTCATAAAGACAAAATACTGTGTATGACCATTATTGTAAATGAGTACAAGGATCCAAGGAGGGGAGGGGGGAGCAGAGCGGTGAGGATGGGCTGGGAGTGGTGGTTAATTATAGGGTTGCACAATTTGATGGGTGAAGGGAGGGGGTGGGTAAAGGAAAGGGAAAGATCTGGTGTGAAAAAACAATGTATGCAAACTTTGTAAGTAAAACAGTATAAAATTAAAATAAAAAAGGGGGGCCCTTCCAGCGCTCTTACCCAAGGCAGAAAACCAAAGTATCTTCAGCTAGTCTGTCCCCAATTTGGCCCCTTTTCTGTCTTGCCACTTTGTGCAAAGGAGCCCCAGCATGGAGGGTCTCAGATGGCTTCATATACCAATGTCACGTTAGAGGCTGGGGGACACCCCACGTCATGCCTTCCCAGGCTCCTTGCACAGAATCTCGCTGGTCTAGAGGGCTCGGCGGCCCTGGAGGAGGAGTGCGCTTACCAGGACCGTCAGCACAGAGGTGCCTACGGTGACGTTCTCATACAGACTGACGTTGTACAGCGGCTGGCTGAAGACGGGCCGGTTGTCATTCTCATTGATCAGGGTGATCTTCACCTTGGCATAGCCCACGTGGTCAGGCACACTCTCATTGGCAAAGAGCTGGATGTGGAGAGCAGGGGCTGAGTGAGCCCCACGTGCTCCCCAGTCCTCCTTGGGGTCAGCCTGCCCCAACCCAGAACACCTGGCCAGTCACTGCCCACCCCCAGAGCTATGTCCTTTTGGGTTCTGGGGTATCACTTCTTCACAAGGCTGGGGGCCATAGGATCTTTGGGGAGGGGTGGCTGATGGAGCTGGGCTAGCAGGAAATGGATGTCAGAGGATCCCAACTGGGTTTCTTGTGGAAGTGTCTGGGGGGAAAAATGACACTCAATCCTTGGGTGTTTTCTTATCCTCAAAAAGGAAAGACCCTGCCCAGTTCCTGCCACTCTCGGTGGGCTTCTCCAAGCAGCCACACAAGGACAGGGTGAGCGAGACAGCAGGGGGTGGGGTCATCTCGTCTCTTCCCTACAGTCTGCCCACCCGGTCTGGGGAGACAGGGAGTAGGACTTACGTCGAAGTCATAGCGGTCCACGGTCTCATAGTCCAGTGGGATGGCCACCCGGATGCGGATGTCAGCCTTCCCTTGGACGGAGGTGGGGGAGATGATGAAGTGGTGGGAGTTGTTGCCCACCAGGTATACCTCGAACATGCTGTTCAGGCCCTGGAACAAAAACAGAGGCAAAACCAGTGAGGAAGAGCTTGGGAGAGGAAGGGCCAGAGTACAAACAGAGCTGAGGGCCTGGAGGGGGTCTGAGGGCTGTTTTAGGAAGGAAAGTGGGGAGGGGGAGGAGCAGGGCCTGTTCCTTCTTTCATCATCCTGTCATGTTTGCAACATCCTTTCTAGATGGACTGGTTCACCTTCCACCTCTACGTTCCTTCCTCTGCCTCAGGGATCCCAACTGGTAGGGGACTGTCAGTTTCACGACTCAGCAGGAGATGAGGGGAAAGGAGGGAGGTCAGAGTGGGACGCAGAGAGAACGATGGAGTGGACTGGAGAGGGTGGACCTGGAGGACTCCGTGGAGGAAGCAGTGCCTGGGTCCCCTCGTTTCTGGCACACACCATACCAGGCAAACAGCTAGGGGTTCACACGCGAATGAGTATAACTCAGAAGAGTGAGGGGCAAGTAAGTCCCCTACTCCCTCACTGCGGTCAATGTGGTGACCTGGGGGACACTGGACCTAGGATGAGCATGGAGCTGCCACATCCCCATGTTTCTCTTATATTCCAGTGGTCCCAGGCCATTGTTTCAGGGGGCTGAGTGCTTCTAATAACTGTCTCCGAGGATGCTGCCCAGTGTTCCCATTGACTCAAATCCCTGAGTCAGAAAGGGCCCTGCTGAAGATGGGAGGTACACCTTCCTGACCCCTTCAATCTGGCCTACTTGCAAGGTGCCTGTTAGTTTTGCAGACAATTGCCACCAACTCACCCCTGGACCTGAGGGGATAATAAGCCACTGGTGGCCCTGCTGTAGCGGCCCTGGAGATGTCCCACTAGCCAGTCAGAGCTGCGTAGCAGTGACCTTCTTGGTCATCCCTGGGCAGCCAACTCACCTCCCAGTGCCCACAGCCCCTCTGGACACTTGGTCCTTTACTGGGGGATATGGGGGTGGCAAAGGAGGTATGCCCTTGCTTTTTCACTGCCTCTGGAGTGTTGAGAAATTCCCTTCTCGAACCTGCTCCTGGTTCTAAGCAGTGACAGTCCCTGCAAGGCTTCAGTTACCATGTGCAGGTCAGGGGAATCTTCCAGGAAGTGACATCCTCAGCCACATCTGAGAATTCTCAGGAACTCTCATCACGTGGTGCTTCCATCCCAGGGACTGGCTCACCGGCCCGCAAATGTATTATCGAATGAATGTGGGGTTTCCTCATCTTATAAAGGGGCAAAACAGCTGCCCTTCCTGCTGCCTCTTTTCAGGGCCTGGGGGCAAGGCTCTGTGATTGGCTCAGGGACTCTGGACAGACCACATAGTAGCTGAGCTCTGCTGACCCCTCTTGTTGACCCCAGGGTCCTGGCAAGCAGTGGGGTCTCCAGAGCCCCCAGTGGGGAGCAGTCCCGCTTGGATTTTGGGCAATGCTTCTCAGGCTGTAGAGTTTCCCATTTTGGTTTGTGTGGAATCCATCCCGTCAGACAGAGGGGACCAATTAAATGCCTGAAGGGACACTGAGAGAGGGAGCTGGCCAACTGTGACAGCGCTGGGCAAGTGACACCAGCAACTCTCCCTCCCTCCACTTTCTCCTCTCCCTCTCAGGACCCAAAAGGGCTGGAGGGCATGATGGGGCTTAGCTTCGCCCTCTGAGAAGCCCCTCCATCCAGTGCCCCCCACTCCTCCCAGCCCCGGCCCCTGGAGGCTCACTTACCAAGTTCTATCAGTAGGTGATCAGTCAAAGGGTATGGAGACAGAGAGGAGGACCGGAGAAGCATCGAGAGATGGAAGGAACCAGAGAGAAAAGAGAGTGAGCTTCTGCATCACGCTAAGGGTCAGGAGCCAAGGAGCCATCTGGCCTGGGATGGGCCACATCTTGGGGATTCTGAGTAGAGGGAGGGAAACTGAGGAGTGGGGCGCCTGTGCAGACCCCACTGAAGGAAGGGGAGGAGTCCAGAGGGCAGGGACAGAGGCCTGAAGGTGAGGAGGCCAGAGGAGGGGACCAGGCTTTGCTCCCCGAGTTCACTTCACCTTCACCCAGCCAGACACAATTATTAGGCTGGGAGAGGTGAGCCTGGCAGAGGTGAGACTGGCTCCCAGAAGCATAGATTACACCTCTGCAGAAAACAGCCTCAAAACTGATTGCCTTGTTTTAATTTTCCTAACATTACAAAAAAACCCAAAAAAACCCCCAACACCCGCCCAAAAAACCCAAATAAAAACAAACCACAGAAACATAGAAATATTTCAAATGGCTCTATGAGGAGAGCACCATCCAAGCCTCCCCTTTCCCTGCCCTGCACCCAGCATCCGGCGCCCCACTGTCAGGACCTTGCTCCAGGGAAGCCCAGTCCCTCGTGGGCGTTATGTGCACATGTCTCATGCCCTGACATGCAGCAGCACAAATCAACACCGCGTGCCTGCCATCTCACATATAAACCTAGAGCGTGGGGTTTCCCCGTCGCCATGTCTGTGGACGACAGCAAGGCTCACAGCAGCTGCAGTGATGAGGGGTTAGTCAGGGCTGACCACCTCCTGCAGAATGAAATGATGTCCCGAGACGTCTTCACCCTCGGAGTGCAGTGCCCACTGCCGCGGCCACTCTGCAATGTGAGTACCTTCTGATTTGCTGAAGGAGCCTCGTTAGCATAGTGAGTAACGTACTGGGTGGCTAACCAAAAGGCCAGCAGTTCAGGTCTATCAGCTGCTCAGAAGGAGACAGACAGTCTCCTATAGTGGTTTACAGCCTCCCATACAACGTAAAGTTGTTATGAATAGGAAAGAACTCTGCAGCAGGTGGATCGGTGACCTCAGCTACAAGAGGTTCCTCTTCCAGCACTGTATTGGCTGTACTGGTTAATATTCTGATGTGATTCGTAGGATTTTACTGGTTAACTTTTGGAAGATCACCAGGCCTTTTTTCCTAGTGTCTTATTTTTGAAATCTGTTCACCATAACCTGTCCTAGTCACAAGGCGTCTAGCATCTTCACCAAAGGATGGCAAGGTGGTAGACGCGGTGGGCCGCACACTTACTCAAGGCTGGCTTGTTCTAAGCACTTTGTATGCATCAAGCAGTCATTTAATCCAGGAAGCACTGCCTGGTTTTCCTGAAGGCTGCAGTCGGCTGTCTCTGGGTCACAGTCCCCCATGAGGTTATTCTGGAGAGCTGAGAGCCCATGAGGCCACAGCCAGGCTGGGACAGAGTGCATCCCACCTCAGGCCACAGTAGGTGCTTGGCAAGTGACCTGTTTCAGCACCAGCTACTCGGTGGTCCTCTTCCTGTGGTCTCCAGATTCCAGAGACAACTCAAGAGGACAAAGGGTTCAGAAAGAGAGGTTTGGGGAGCTGCCCCAGGTCTCCCAGGGGGCACTGTGGAGGGAGGGATAAGAAGTGAGGCTCAGGTCTCAGGTCCGTGTGTGTTCCCATGATTCCCTGCTGCCTGTCTGGTCAAAGACAGAATCCAGGCCTGACGCGGGCCTTTACCAACAGTAGCAACTGAGCACAAGCAGGCCTGAGTCAGACACTTAGGAGCTCTTTATTCTAGAGCAAACTGAAACGCAATGGGGTTTTCTGTGTGTGTGTCTGTCTGTGTCATTGATTGATATGGTGACTATAATAATGGGCTTGAGTGTGTCTCAGATTATGAGGATGGCGTAGGATGGGGCAAGGGTTAGATCTGTTGTTCACAGAATTGCTGTGAATTATAGAGAGAGGTCTGTTGTCCTAGTGGATAGAAAGTTAACGTTGCAAAGCCAAAGGTGGGTGATTTTAATCTGCGGCCTCAGGCCTGGTTTTAATTGTTTTTGGTCAAACATTCTTCTAAGTGGTATAGCACTGGTCTGTCCATTTGCTGTACAGTGGTAACTCATGGTTGCTATGAAGCAGAACAGTGTGACACCGATGTGTCAAATGTGATAATGGTTAACCATGGTGGACAGTGTTTGGTGGAGCTCCCAGATCAAAACAGGCTTGGAAGCAGGAGGGGCATCCACTTCCAAAATAACTTGCCTCTAGAAACTCTGTGAACGTGGAGAAACTATGAAAGTTATACTAGTGTTCAGGTCTTTCATTCATAGGGTTGCTATGAGTCGTCTACGACTTGATGGCACTTAACAACAACAACAACATTGTGAACCTATGTTTACCTGATTTGAATCTATTTGTGTCTTGAAGGGCCTGGGTTGGAAGTTTACCCTTTTACAGAGGATTTGTTGGTTTCTACCCTTAAAGCTATTTTTAAAAAAATTATCACGGTAATATATATAACAAACAGTCACAGATATGACAAAATGTTTGCATTTTATCATTTTAAAGTTACAACTCAGTGACGTGAATTATATTGACTATATTGTACAACTATTCATGTTGAGAAACAGAAACACAATTCCCTTAATCAAATCCTTCACTTCGCCACTCCAGATACTGGTAACCACTAATAATAACCTTTGTCTCTTTACATTTGCCCAGTTTAGATATTTCATAAAAGTGGGGTCAAGATTATATTTTTCCTTTTGTGTCTGACTTATTTCACTTAGGACAGTATTTTCCCGGTTCACCCACACTGTAGCATAGGAATACATCTGATTTTTTTGTGTTGGTCTTGTTTCTTGCAAATTTGCTGTTTTCACTTATTAGGGATTGAATTGTGATCCCCAAAAGATGTGTTGGCTTGACAGAGTTATGATTCTTAGTTTAATCTAAGTATCCTGTGTGTTGTAAACCGTAACTTCTATGGCGTTAACTGGTAGCTCTAGTGTCTCACTGATTAGGAGCTGTACTGCCAACACAAAGGTATATGGTTCAAATCCACAAGCTTCTCCTCAGAAGAAAAGATGGGAAATCTCTTCCCACGTCATTTACTGACTCTGAAAATGCACTGGAGGGTCAGCTACAGGTCAGTTCCAACCATGACTCGCATCAGGCACACCTTATCAAGACTGACATTGTTGCTCTTCAGCACTCTGGAGATGCCCCAGACAACATATTTCCCCCAGACAATCAGTCTTCTAATTTCCT